TTCACAGAGGCTATATATAAAAAACAAAAGAGATTGTTTTATTTAACTTGTATTCAAAACAACTTTGAAATGTTCTAGTCGTTAAAAAAAGTTTAAATAGATAATGTGAGTAGATAGCGAAATTTCATTAGCATCAAGATGAACCATTTTCTCTTTACTCTCTTCCAAAAATTCTCATTTGTTTCTTTCATTTACTAATCTTTCATTAACTCCTATTATGTTGGGAAACAATTAACTTGTAATTAAAGGCTTTCTGTCTAGTTCATCATTTGTAGATGTTATAAAAACAATATAGAAAAAACAGAAACTGTATTATAGCATCGAAATTAATAGATTATAAAATGATAAAATGATTATTCTTTGAATGTAAACAGCATTTGGTCAATTATTAATAATTATCACGCCATCTGTCGATAGAGTAAGAAAATATATTAATTGCAATCTAGGAAAATTGAAAAGCGTGCATTTTACGCTAAAGTTGGCTAATATTATCACGGTCTACTCCCTATATGTTTAGTCAACTCAAAATTATATACATGCTAAATATATTATATGTATAGCATATACATATACTGTATGCAATATAGTAGGAAGTATATATATATATATATATATATATATATCATTTATATAAGAATAAATTCCTTTAGGCTATATGTATATTAAGTTTTTGTAAATTATCTTAGTCTTATAAGAAAGATCCACCATTTCTATTTACATATGAGCAGAAACTTGAAATTTTATCATCGATATTTTATACGAATGTTGTTTTCGTTTATAGCTTAAGGAAATAAATTTTCTTTCATTTTCTTTTTACTTCTTCTTTCCTTTGCAACCAAGAAATCATTACAAGACGAACAGACGTGCATATACTGTATACATATACATATATATATATATATACTGTATATATAAAGAGAAAAAGAGAGAGAGATTAAGACTCTCTTTTTCCTATTAATAATACAAAAATTCTAACTTCTACAAAGTTTACATTAAACGCTTTGAGTGAAATTTTAATGACTTTCTTCCATTAATTAAAGGCTATTACTTTACATTAGAATATTATAATGTGGGAGGATATTAAACAGTTTTAGCACATTTGCTATTCTATTAATTTAACAGAGGAAAACTGTTTATGATATACTAATATATTAATTTTTACTCGTCTTATCATTTATAATATGTTTAAGCTATTGTGGATTTGATAGCTTCATGGCAAATTAATTTGAAAAGTTAATGAATTTTTAAGTATATTGGATAGAGAACTTAATCTCCATTTGGGATAGGGAAGAAAATCCCTTTCTTTTGTATTAAGTAAAAAGGCAAACACAGCTTAATTTTCACACTTTAAATAAGATATAATTTACGAAAGAAAAAAATTAAAACTCCTTTTTATATATAGCAGTAGACGACTTAATAACTTTTCTCAGTTGATATAGGCCGAAAACAAACCCCATTTCTAACAGGTAAACTATTTCCCCTAAGAGAGTATTACTCTCAATTAAAGTTAGATAATACTTTAATAGAATTAGTTTCGATTTAATTAAAAAAATTTTAAGGATTTTTTCACCTTTGATCTATAAAAAGTCTTCAAAAAAGAAAAACACTTAAACCCAATTAAGCTGAACTTAAGTCAGACTTTTACATTTTCTTTTTTTTTCCAATTTTTCCAGATTTTTCTTTTAGGAAACGGAAATTTTATAATAAATGTTTAAATACTACATTTAAATTTAAGAAACTATTTACCATCTCCTAGAAAGAGTTCTCTGCAGTTTTCATAAAATAGAGGGCGTTAGCGGCGAAAAAAAAATAAATATTTTATGTAGGGCTATATACAATATATCTACCAACGCGTATATAGTATAGGCTTAAGTTATTTAGTAAAGAAAATCAGTCAAAATTACGGAAGTAATATAGAAATCTATAAATCGTATATGATGAATATATGACTTAATAAAAGTTGAGGACAGTTGTAATATTTTTACATAGAATGCATCTACTTCAAAGTCAATATTTTGTACGTTTTAGTGTGAGATAACCGGATGTGTTATTACGAATGAAAAGCAAGGGAACTATCTGCAACATTGGAATAATATTACTATCAATATAGCTTTTAAAGAGATGAAGAAAATATGTAAAAAGGAAAAATAAATAGATATAAAGATATGAAATAAAAAAAAAAGAGAAAAAGACAAATCGTTTTCATGTCGTTGCATCATTCGCTTGTTTACTGAGTCAAGAAAACTTGTCATACTCGATGGTCCAATAATAAAATATTTAAATTAAACGAATAATTTTTCCAATACATTTTTATAAGAAGAAGAAGAAGAAGAAATATAGAAATCATTTTAAACATTTCCTCTTTTCGAATATATGAATATTAATTAAGTCGTTTTTGTTTTTTAAGGACAACTACATGGATAACGAAGAGGAAGTTATATTTAAATAATTTTTTTTTTAGTTTATTAATATTCATAGACTATAAATAAAACCATTAAGGAAATATAAAGAGAAAAAAGAGAAGAACGCTTTTCTTAACTTTACTTATTAAAAGTGTTAATTTAACACTATAACGCTTGGATAAGCTGAAATAGACGAATGATAATACATTCTTTATTTATCATTTTTTTGTTCATATATTTGAAAGTTAAGCCATTTTTCCTTATTTTATATTTTGTTTTTCATTTATCAACAGGAATTAATATAATATTGAATTTATAAAAATAAGAAGATGAGATCAAAAGGATAACGTTAGATTTTGTTGAGATTAAGACGAGAGATAAAGATCAACGCAATTCTATGTGGAAAAAAATCATTATTTCTCTTTCAAAATATTATATAAAATCTATCGACAACCATATGATGTATAGTATCTGTTTGTATCATTTCAGATATTTGAAGTTCTTCTTATGTTCCCTAGTCAGACAAATGCTCTCACCTGATAAGTAAATATAATCCGGATTTTGTTTTCGAACATCTAGGCTTAGCAGATATCAATATCAAAAAATAGCTGACATACGCTCATTTATTTTTTATTAAAAGACAAAGTATCTATGTAGTTCTACTTAAATTTTTATAATAAATCAATGAAAGCATATTTCCAAATTTTCTAGCTATTATATTTTTGCATTTATGGATCGAAATTATCAATTTTTATTGTGCAAGCTATTCTGTAAGAGTCATCTTTCTTTATAAAATAGCAAAAAATACGACAAAAGAGGCGAAAGAGGATGAAAAGAACACGGAATCTAATTCTAGAGAAGAAGTATAACAAATACAAAAATCGTATCAGAGTAACTGCTGATATATATCCATGTCTGGTTTTAAATTTGCGATCAGTTTTTAGTTTAATTTTAACATGGAAACATATCTAGATCATCCAAAAACAAATAGACGCCCAAACGTTCTATTGAAATGTATATATTTAATTAGACTACAGTTGAAGCACAAAGATATCTATTAGCAATTTATAACTGAAAAAGTCAATTCTTTTAGAAACAAGGACGAAATAAATCTATTTCAGTATTATTATCGTAATGGCTTGCTTCTTTAATTATTGTTGGATGAAAGGAAAATGTATACTCTCCTTTAAAATGTTGTTGATATATTTTCTTCTAGAAACCTTAAAAAAAGAAATACAAAGCGGTAAAGCGAAACAAAGAATTTTTAATTATTATTCCAATAGCAATAAGATTATTTGAAATTTCATATTTTCATTATCCTCACAGTTTGGATCTTCCGTTGAGGAAACACGCAGAGTATTCTGTATAATGTCATATATATATATATATATATATATATATATGGAAAAATAAATGGATAGTTATATATATGTATTAGCATATGAGGCTATTATCAAACTCGTCATTAATTAATTTCACTGTGCAGTCTCAGATAAACTAATAATATCATGTTTTCAAACGTATTGATATTAATCGTATATCTCTGATATTTACGCCGCTTTTCTCTTCCTACATTTCTACTTCTTGTTGTTTTTTTATTATAAAACATTTCCATCAATCTGTTTCTATTTAATTTTAATAAATAGAGGTTTAAAAAAAGTGTATAAATAAATTAAACTTAATTGATCAATAAATTTTAAGGGATAAATGAATAAAAGGGAAAAGAAAGAGAGAAAATACTAAATTTTCCTCCTCTTTTCTCTTCTATATTCTTTTAACGAATTTGTCCTAATATGAAATATAAATAAACTTTGAATAATTTGAAAGTTCTTTAATACTTAAGACTAGAAAGAGGAAATTGAGTTTCTTATTAATAAGTTTTAATCTAGCTTAAGTGAAAGAATGAAAAGGTTTCTTACATTAACTTTATTTGATTAATGAATTTAAATATAAAATAAAATTGTAAGGGAAATAACTTTTATAAAAATAGGGAAGAGTACCAAGTTAATTTTGTTACGGGCATGATGCTAACGCCATCTGTACTTTTTATAAGGAACAGAAATGTATATACTGTACTATTTATATATATATTTATATATATATTTATTTATTTATTCAAATATACGCAATACCTGGAAAATAGAAGGTTTTATTTACAGTGTATAGTTGACTAATTAGCTTTCTTCTGGAAAAAAATTTCTTAAGAGCTTAATTTAAGTTTTATAATAAGAATCCTTTTTCGAAACTATAGAAAGGAACCCAAGTCATTTCCATACCGGCTAACTACATACGGAATGACCGGAAAAAAATTCTATGCCAAAATATGCCCACCATTCGATATTTGTTCAATTTCCGCTTATATTGATTATTAGAGAGGAACGTTAGAAACATATATGTATTAAATGAGTTACTGTTGCTAATTTTGACCTAAAATAATTTAAAGTATAACAAAAATGTCATAGTAAATCAACTAATTCTGGGAAATTTCTTTTTAATTAATTGCAATAGCTGATAGGTTTTTAAACGAGAGAATAGTCAATGAGCTATTGGTAACACTCGAACTATTGGCGACAGACCAGTCATTTGAAATCTAATTGGCGATGGATACAGACGCCGAAACGGCTGCTAGACGCTTGGCTTTTCAAAAAGGTTATAGCCAAGAAGTAAGTATAAAAGAGATAATATTTTTCTTTTAGCAAAACTATAAAACAAGATATTTATTATTTTATTAAAAAAAACTTACAATTTCAGCACGGATCGTGGAAACATCGCAGTTTAATAGAAGATGCTAAATTCGATACAGTAACTAATGCTGAATTTGAAAAATTAGAAAAACCTGATGATGATAAGAAAATTATCGAAAATACAGTTCCATTATCATTCATTGTAACTCTTTTCGATATAAGTCACGTGTGGAGAATCTTATCAGAAATTGAGGTAATTAAACAGTATATATAAATTTATAGACCAGCTTAACAATGGATAATAAGAATTAAAGCAATAAATTATTATTTTTATAAATAAAATAACATTTAAATAAAAGTTTCCATAAATAGGATTAAAAAAAAACTATATTATAAAGTACCCTACTTTCCCTTTTGTTCTCACCCTTGAAATAAATCGGATTATCTGACGTTTCAAGACTTTTTAAAGTAGCGCTTAAGTGAAATTCTCATTAGAAAATAACCAGAGTATATTTCAATAATCGATTAATCTATTGTGTTGGATTTAATCTGCAAAGTTTACTTTAGTAGTTTGTTAAGTAAAAAATAAAAAGTATGTACAAATAAATATGTATACATTGTATATTTGATACATGTATATTGTATTTGCACATAGCGGATATACTATTATATAAATAGTTCATACAGAACTCTTATATATAGTATAATATATATATATATATATACAGTATATATATATCTATAAATTTATATATATATATACGACCACAAAATGGGAAAGAATACAAGAAAAGGAAGAAATTTCGACACACTTCTCTCTCGCATTATCCGATTTTAGCGTAAAAATAGTATGAAAATTATCAGGAAATGCGCCTTTACAAGGACGGAGTGCATATTGCTGTATTGCAGTTCGCGTCACCTAATTATCGATGTAGAGAGCAAAAGTCGGACTTTTTATTTATCGAAATCGATCTGTCGTCGTTTGGTCGCGTGACAAACAATCTTTTATAGTTGATTTTGTCGTATTTAATATTTTTCTTTGTTAAAAATAGCTTTTTATATTTGTACAATCTAATATGAAAAGTAGAGAAATATTGTTAATATTCATATATAAACAGCATTTAACTTTTGTGCAACCGGATTAAATTTCATTTAAGGTTTTTCTCTCTTGTTCAAATAGAAATTAAGTCAAGTTCGATTGGAACATATCGAATCGAGAAGTAACAATAAGAAAGATCGTAAGGCTGATGTCTTTTTTGGTATGGTCTGTACCGAAGGGCATAGTGATTCGATAATAAAATTGATAAATTCCCTGCCTGAAATATGTAAACTTAAGATTATTGAAGATGATGGACCGGACAAGCATATTTACAAAGGTTAATTGATCTTGTTTTCAATGTCATACTATTGTTCTAATTATACTATTACAGATATTTGGATCCCTACTCATATTTCCGACCTAGACAAATGTAATCACCTCCTAACCAAATATGATCCAGATTTAGATTTCAACCATCCAGGCTTTTCCGATAAAGTATACAGAAATCGACGTCAGCATATTGCTGATTTGGCATTTAACTATAAACAGTAATATATCTCAACATAACAATTTATACACAGTATACTCTTTATCTTCTTTTCTAAGAGAAGACAGAATATTCTATAAATATTATTATAAATCGATAGCTTGTTACACGTTTTTTTCCTTTTTAGTGGTGAAATAATACCGGATGTAGAATATAGTGAGAATGAGAATAGGACATGGTTCCACGTGTATTCAATGTTAAAAAAGCTTTATCCTACCCACGCTTGTAAACAATTTAACAGAGCTTTTGCCAAACTGGAGGCTGAAAAAGTTTATTCCCAAACCGAAGTTCCACAATTAAGAAAGGTCTCCGAATTTCTACAAAGGCTGTCTGGTTTCCAATTGCGACCAGTTGCTGGCTTATTATCAGCAAGAGATTTTTTGGCTAGCTTGGCGTTCAGGGTTTTCCAATGTACGCAGTATGTTCGTCATCATTCAGCTCCTGAACATACAGTTGAACCTGATTGCGTTCACGAACTTCTTGGGCACGTACCAATGTTGGCTGATCCTTACTTTGCTGAATTTTCACAGGAGATTGGTCTAGCTTCTTTAGGAGCTAGCGACGAAGACATCGAAAAATTCGCAACACTCTATTGGTTCACAGTTGAATTTGGACTGTGTAAGGAAAAAGGGGAAATTCGCGCTTATGGAGCAGGGCTATTATCGGCATTTGGTGAATTAGAACACGCTTTAAGTGACGTGCCAGAGAGACGTCCTTTCGATCCTGATACGACCTCTATTCAACCTTATCAAGATCAAGGTATTATTTTGATAGTAAATAACCATTCAGAAATTTCTCATTAATCTTTGTAAAACAAACAAAAATCAGATTATCAACCGCTTTACTTTGTGGCTGAGAGTTTTGAAACTATGATGGAGAAACTTCGACAATACTCTTCTCAGATTAAGAGACCATATGAAGTTCGTTATGATCCTTACACTCAGTCAGTCAAACTTTTGAACAATTCGGAAGCCATTAGCGAAACGGTTCAGTCGATGAAAGCGGATCTGACTCATTTACAACACGCCATCAGGCGTATCCACTCTATATCCATTGCTTAAAAATTATGAAGAATGGTCAATTTATTTGTTGTGGTAGTTTCAGAAGTTAAAAAGAATTAATCCATTAATTATACTTGGCACTTGGCGGTATGTTCAAAAAGAAACGTATTAGCTTGTTCAAAAAAAAGCTTAGCTAGTATAAAAGTTCCACTTCAGAGCAATCATAAAATGCTTAGTCTACTTCAGAAATACTCTTGTCTTTATCCTTAGTAAATAAATGTTGCAATATAATTAATTCGTGTTGTTATTATTAAAAGTAACTTATCATGTAATTATCATTTCCAAACTTACAATAATGATACTTAAATTTCGTATGGCGAAATAGAAATAGGAAGAAGAGCCTTGTGAAGATAATTGATTTTTCATATAAAAATTGTTAAGAAATATTTTGCAAAAAGGTCAAAGAAGATAAATGGGTTATCAAAAAAGAATCTTATTATTCCTCCTTAACGGTGTAGATGACAGACTGCCGATACTAGACGCCATCTACCGTAAGGAATATTGTAAACTTTGGCATCGTCATAATCACAGTAATAATTAGTTTCGGTTTATGCTTTATATACCCTAATTTAATAAAGTTCACACTTGAGAGAGGATATTTTTCTCATCTTAATTGGCTCGCTTCACTAGATAATACCTATAAGAAGTCAAGCTAATAAAGTAGCAGAAGATGTTCAAATAACCTTCAGCCTATTTACCTTTCTTTTGTTTTCTTCTTAGCATATAAAAAAATTACTTTAATGACAAAGTAAACTCTTTATTATTATTGTTTCTCTTTAAAAGAGAAATGAAGGTTAATGATTTACATTAAAAACGTTTATTTTTATTATTTAAACGGTTTTTATTTTTATTTTTTGGATCGATTCAACTGCTAAAAGCTTACTTACAAAAATCCAAATATTGTTTTTTACTACTAAAATAACTAAATTCTATCTTTTTACATTACTCTGATTTTTTTATTGTAATATTGTAAAGAGGCTGAATGAGAGAAGGTAAACGAAAGATAGAATAGAAGGAGAGAAAGAGGAGGAGAAAGAGATAAATATACTGAGGTATAAAGAAACTTCTAATTGACCAAAATGCAACTGCACGCCCCGGTAATGCAATTGATGCCAGATTTACGAGCCATAGGAAGGTCAGAAGGATCAAATACGAACCAGTCTTATCACCTAACCTCCCTGTATAGGTTAACTAATTAGCAGAAAATTCAGCAGAGTTATGACTAAAACTGCCCTCTGACGAAAAAAAATACAAATCAAGTTAGGCCTAAATAGGGAGTATCAAATTCTATTAAAGGTATAGAAATAGAGGAAGCGCCATCTATTGAAGGACGCTTATAAAAATACGGGTTCCTTTCATAGATCGTAACTTGATACGATATTTTCGAACGATTTGACTACTTTCAGGAGATTTGCACGCGCCGATATAGCCTTTAATCCTTCGCTTATTTATTTGACCCCTGTCACCTTTTTCGCATCGTTTATCCGTCAACAAAGTCGCTCTTTTTGCTTTTATTGTAAGAATATGAAGGGAATTGCAATATACCACAGAGATAAAGATAAAAACAACTTTCATGCCGTCAAAGTTTCACGGCTAAGAGAATCCAACCGCCCCATCTTTTGATCCCTGTTGAAAATATTCCATAATAGCCGCTAAACGACCGTCATTTGCATTCAAGAAGGCTCTTGAAACATCCTTTAATCACCTGACTCATTTGCATACCGCTATTCGAAATAGTCATATCCAACGCGAATATTTCCTTTAACGCTTATCTCCCATTTCCCCCTTAGAGGATCTATCATATTTATATGATATACAGTACATAGGAATACTAAAAATGATCAAGGAACACATATTTGGCTTTATTTAGCCGAATGTTATTTTTTTTAAGTACAGTTTACTTAGCTTTTCCTGCACTTGGATTGAATCTTTTTCAAAAATATTATCCCTTCAAATTAAGAAAAAAGTAAAAATCCTTACAGTAAAAAGTTTTTAATAGATATTTGCGGTTTAAGGCCAAAGCCCGAATAACCTTTATCGTACCCTACCATACCTCATATTATTAGCTATTCAATTTGTGATAATAGTGAGTTTATTTAACAATTAATTGATTTCAAGCAAACTTTTAAAAGTACCTGTAAACGATAATCCTAATTCTCTAATGTGTAAATAAGAGAAAAACAATAATACAATTGTTAATTTTAGAGAATTTGTAGTTAAAAATTAAACTTTACTTATATAAAGAACAGACCAGCTACTTTTTCCACCGACCCGTCTACTTTAATAGCAGATTCTTTTTTTTGTTGAAATCTTCAAAGAATTTTTCAATTGGATTTTTTTATCTTTAAAAACGTTTAATTAATATTCTTCATAGATAAAAATAGAAGAAAAAAGGAATTTTTAAGAGTTGAAAAAATTCCTGTCTTCATCACCTGGTATGTCTAATAATCTATTGGTAATAAAATACTAATAAATCTTCTATTTTATTGCTAAACAATTGTCAAAATATGAAATTTCAGACGAAAAATTGCTTAGCTTAGATTTTCACCATGGTAATGTCTAAAAATAATTTTTAACTCTAAAAACAACTTCATTATACAATCATAGTATATTTTATAGCAATGTTTTTACTTAATCCTTAAATCCTGATTTATGCGCGTTTTATGGCTAAATAAAGTCATCAAAATTATTCTATAGTTAGCTCTATCAATAGATCTACTATAGTACAGTTAATTGATTACGATTTACCTGAAATATACTAATATTTTTCTTGTTGAAAAGAGATATATATACAGGCAAAAATTTTTGATTATACACTCTATCGTAGCCAATAGGCTATCTTTGTTTTAAAATACTTAGTGCTGATTGGCTAAGAATGCTGTTCACGTGACCCTTTCAAGGCCTATCTAAAGTTCGCAGATGCCCGTTGTTATTTGCTCGTCGGTTAGCGGCGAATATGGATTATCAGGCGTTAGTAATCTGGCTTCTGCAAATAATCTTATTCGATAGTGGTGAGTTAAACATATATATTGGATATAATTAACTGAAATTATTTATTTACGAAGATACTTGTTTACTTACATGCTGAGCGCTTGATAACTTATCTTGCCTTACTGATAGAATTTTCCGATAAAAAAAAGGAGGCAAAGAAATTTCTTTTCCTTTCTTCTCTAGGGAAGAATGTGAGGAAAGATCAGCTAGTAAATATGACCGAGTGCTCTTTTTGTAATTCGAGAAATTGTCAGCACTTGAACAGCTTGAATAGCGTAAAAATTTCAATTTTAAAATCTTTATATTATATATTTATAATAAGAAAAAAATTTTAGAATCAAAGAAAAGCTAGATAAAATAGAAAATAGTCAATTGAAAGAAATTTACTAGAGTAAAAAGATTAGGGAAGAGTTGCGGTTTTCATAGAAAAAATGGTAAAGAGAAAGAGAGAATAGGAGAGAGAAAAAGTGAATTAAAGATAGTTTATGAATCAATTTAAAAAAATTAATAGCATAAATAAAATGTCTAACAATAAATATCCATTCAAAAGAATGTTGTAAATGTTAAAAAAAGAAGAAAAGCCATATATTTCCATGTTAATTTTATCAAATTTTCTATACCGTTATATAAATAGAGTATCTTTTTATTTATAAATCAAAAAGCTTTTATTGTAGTTTTCGATTTTTTTTAAGATTGAAGGCAAGAAGTGAAGAGATAGCCTCTCCATCCTTCTTTTACTATTTATACCTTTCTTTCTTCTTTCTCTCTCTCTCTCTCTCTCTCATTCTATCTATCTATCTATTCCCTTTTCTCGTTCTCTTTCTACGTGAAGCTATCCAAAAATTGGTTTATCTAAATGGCATGTAATTCGGTTTATAATTCTATCTGTATCGAATGTAGGTATATATAGGGATTACGCATTAAAAAGTATGCATAGTACTATTGGTATTTACCCTTTATATATATTTTTTTATATGATTGATTAAAAAACTTCTTTGTTCACAATGCCAGATAATTATAGCGGTTCTGTGTTCATAAAATCTTTCAAAGTTACATATATAGCTATTTGAACATATATATTTGTATTCTATAGTATATATCACCTTTATAGAGATAGGAATTTCTATCTATATAGATATATAGATTGATAGTTTTCTTTTCTAGCCAATAGACCATTAATCATTGTTACTTCTACCATTAAATTTTTATATATCAAAACCTATGAAACATTTTTTTTCCTTAAAGAAAATAGAATAGTTTTATGTTTGCGAAGACGTAAAAGAGAAGGAAAAGAGTCAATTTAAAATGTATGAAGAGGTTGCCCGAGGCGACTTCAATCGCTTCTTACTTTCATCATTTCCGCAAGCTATTCAAAAAACTGTATTCTTGTTTATCTCAATATCTCGTCTAACAGGAGCTGTTCTTTACCTTCTTTACTTTTCTATTTTCTTTGACTTGTCAATCTCTTTAAAAGCGATCATTTTTTTCTTATCCCTCAATTTCATAAACTTGGCAGTAAAAAACTTTTCTATTCAGCTTCAATATGAGAAAATTGAATAATTTATCAAAATAATTAATAATACCTTAACTGTAATTAATAATTTTAAAGATCTTTTATCAATAGGTGAAAACAAAGAAATCTTTGTATTTTCTTTCCTTGTCCGGGTTATTGTCGATAGGATCTCTTAGAAATATAGGAACATATCTATTTGTATTGTACATCTATCTCCCTATCATGAAATTAGTTTAATTAATTTTATACTCGTAGGCAATTAAATAACTTGTAATTAAACTTTGGTCAGTTCATTAAATATCCTTCCTTAGAAAAAGAATTCAATCTCCAAAGACTTAATTAACATACGGTTTTGTTATGAAAGAGGCCGTAAAAGCGAATTACGAGCTTTTTTGGGCCTAAGATTTTTGAAGAGTACCACTTGAAAGTCTTAAATGACCCTTATTGTAAGTTAAATTAAAAATAGAAGAAAGAAACGCCAAAATATTTTCTCACAATATGAGTAACAAGTTTTCTTTTATCGCCTAATCCGTAATATAAATCAACAACAGGATTTACGAGTGCATAGAATTTATTGTGAAAAAAGACTAACAACATTCTAAAATTAAGGAGTGAGAGAGATCACGCTTTACTGAGAATTAAAAGAAAATTAAGGAGACAGGTAGAATTGGTGTTAGATTGTGAAGAAGAAGGTGTCCGTGGGAGAAAGAAGCGAAAGAACGGAGAGAAAGACTAGAGAGAGAGAGAGAGAGAGAGAGAGAGAGAGAGAGAGAGAGAGAAAGGTAGATAGATAGGTAGATAGCCGAAAAAAAGGAATAGAGAGGAAGGACATTAAAATTAATCATAGAAAAAAATGTCTTTCAACGAAAGAAAAAAAATCAAAAGATAACAAAAGAACTTTGTCAGGCTGTAAATAAATTTTCAATTTTCCTTACCAATACCGGATTAGAAAACTTAAACAGCTATTTTCTTGAATAGAGAAGGAGGAAAAAGAGAAAAATAAATTTATTTCCACTATTGTATCCTCTATTCTCTCGTCTTTGCCTTAAAATAAATCCGTAACGTAAACAGTCAATGATGTAGCCTTATAAACTAAACTAGCGACGAAAAAGAAAAAAAACACAAAATCTAGGCGGTTCCGATCAAAGTTAGAGAATCCTTGGTAAATAATCTTTAGAGTATGATTGTCATTCATTTCGTTTAAAAGATATTTAATTTATAAATACGAGTATATACAATATATATATATATATATAAATATTATATATATCAAAGGAAATTGGAGAAATATTAATTCTTTATTGTCATATAAAAAATATTCAAAAAAGAAGCAGAAGTACCAATTTTGACTTTATTGTCATGAAATTTATTGCAATTATTAGAGATTGTATAAGGCGCTTATAAAGTAAGAAAACACTTTCCAAATACCGCTTATATTGGTCTACAGTGCTGATAATTAAATCTTTAAGCTTGAATGGCTTATAATAAAAATTATTTTCGTTTCATTATGCATTTTTCGCTGCCAAAAATTTAAAGAGCCAAATGTACCTCTTCATAGGCCTAAAACTGTTCAAAAGATCCCTTGAAAACCTACTAAGCCCCTCCTTCTCTCAGCCTTTTTTCTTACATTCCATTTAAAATCTCGACCTAATTTAATAAAGGCAAGCACTCGAACAAAAATACTTAATTATATGGTTTCAACAAACGTTTAATGACAACCTTTCTTGAAAAGATAAAACATTAATACGGGCTTTTTGAATAGGTTATATGAAAAGGGATGTCTGCTCCCCTTTGGTTAGACGAATGTACGACAGAGAAATTGAAGACGTGACCAAGACCGAATTGGAAGGAGAATGGACATCAGACAGGTTAGTTTCTCCTACTAGTTTTGTTTATTTTGCAGATAATCTACGACGTTAATCGAATATAAATCAGGCAACACGCACAAAAGGTTTAAATTATACCTAGCTAGGAAAGAACCAAAAACATAAAGTAGAGGGGAAAAATAAACTGGTATTCATTAAAGAAAAAAGAGAGGTGAAGGAAAGGGAAGGGAAAATGAAGTAGAAATAAGCCGAAAAGAAAATGAATACTATTAGTAATAGCCTCCTAAATTTAAAGCGTTAAAATAACCAGTTTTCTCCTTTATAAACACTTTGATTAGTTTGAATTAATTATTTAGCCTGTAAAAACATAGTCATGACAAAAGAATCGGGATAAAGGCGAGTAGAACTGAAATAACAATTCGATAAAATTCGATTAGTTTCTTGCCTCCGAAGAAGGTAAATTCGGTGAGTAAATAATGAATAGAAATTCGGGCTTTACGTTACGTTTTTAGCGGGCAAATAGCCCGGAGCAACTGCGGATTCTTTGTTCTTTAGTCGAGTGCTCGAGAATGTTCACACGTGACTTTGATAATGAATTGTTTGCGGCACTTAACGGCCGAAGAGGTTCTTTATTTGCAAGTATACGGGTTTTAGGTATTCCTCAACTCCTCATCCTTTTAAATAGTTTCTCTTTCTAGTTTTTATTAAAATGGACACTTGTTTATATGTTATAAATACCAGCCGTTTATCATAAATTCTTCTTAAAGGTTTCTCTCTCGCTGTTCTCTCATAACCTTCTATTTTCCATATATCTTCTCCTCTATCTTTGCGATCTAAATTTTACTCCATTTGTACAATTTATAAATGGTATTAATATTCATAAATATTCATAGCTGATAACATTCTTCTAAAGTTACTTTTGATAATAATAAAAAAAAAAGTTAATTTATTCATAAAACAGAATAGTTTAAATAAAAGACTGATGAATATTAATGTAATAAATTAGTATTAGTTTTTTGATCATTTATTAATTTATTCAACTTTTTTTTCGGAAAATACGAAAACAATGTTTATCTATTTCCGTTTAAAGTAGAGTAAGAGTTAAATTATTGCCTTTAAGAATTAAGATACTATATATACAGTATATATAGTGTATACGACATATAAAGTCAATAGTATTTATTTATTTTCTATTCTTTTTAGCCTATACCAGGCGTATTTTGATCATAATCAGCTGTTTGTGTGTTGTTAGAAACTAGTCATAATATTTGTATTATGTTTTTACATAGTACTATACATTTGAAAGCTTATTAAAATTACTACAAGGTTGCTATTTGTTGGAATGATAATTAATGGCTTAAAAAATAAATGGACGAATGAAAGGGAATTTTAGACATTCTATACCTTCCCGTACGACATTTTTCACCTTAATGTACCGTATATAATTGTTAGAAGTGATTTTCACAAATAACCCGTTTTTAGACAGGAAGATTTAAGGTATTTTACGGTTGAAATGTCATGCTTACATCCTTTTTGTATATACGTTTCTACAACATACTTAATTAATTAGATAAAACACGCAAATTTTCTGTTTTCTAATTACGAATGTTACTAATTAAAAAAACAAGGCAGTTATATAGAAATCAGTAACAATAAATCAGTTGTTAAACTTTGAGTTGGTCATGGAGTAAGGTTTTCGACAGTTTTATTGCCAAACTGCTAGAAAACAGAATGTTTTCAGGCTAATAATCCGTGAATAATACTGTTTATATAAACTATTGCAAAATAACGGATTGTTTAGAGTAGTTTGATTCTTGAATATGAAACTTTTCCTTCCGTTTAAAGTTTATGTCAAAGTATTATCTGAACTATTTCTTTCTCTGCCTCTGTTTTCTTCTTCTGTCGCTCCCCTATATCTCTCTCTGTCTGTCTGTTGGTCTCTCTTTCTTTCTCTCTCTCTCTCTCTCTCTCTTAGATATATATAGATCTCTGTCTTTCCCTCTCTTATATCTCTTATTTATTAAAAGATTGTATCAAATAATTGTAACGGTCTGCTTTCTTTTACAAATACTCAAATAGGTAGTAAGACTTTTTTCTTTGAATGTCAAGCGAATCTATTCACGATTCGTTCAAGTGTTACAAATTTTTCATCCAAAGTTATACGGGTTTTCCGCCATTTTCATCCGTCAGATTGTTATCTCGACGGAAATTATACGGACTGGGCAATTTAAATGTCAGCTTAAATAGCCTTAATTACAAGGCCGCACGAGGGCGTTTAGAACGACGAAGGTCTTGAAGTCGTTAAATTCGTCGTACTTGTGTAAACAAAGAATGATAATTAGATTACGTAAAAAAACAGCTGCTTGAAAAGTTTAAGATCGGGGAAAAATGCTATAGTTCGTGTAACTGGCGTCTATCTCAGAAAATGACCATTGCATGATTGCGTGCCTTATCATAGTCATCTTGGTAAATTCGCTCTCGTTTTTTTTCTTAACAAACAATAATTACTTAATGACAAACGCTCGTGTATCACGTGACATGTTTTCCAACAGGTGAGAAAATAACAAATTATAAGTTTGTATCTAAAGCTTATAACATATGTCTTGAAGGATTTAAATAAGAGGATTTCATTCGTTATCTCCTTTTGGAGTAATTTATAATCCCGTGTCATAAATTAATGTTTTTCCTGTTTTAATAAATAATGATTAGTAATTGATTAATAACGGCACATTGCGTGACAATTCGGGAAAGGTAAAGGTGTAAAGTTCATTCGGCGGCTAAAGTATTGTATTAAAACCTGAAAGATAAGAGAATTTTTAATTCACTCCTTCTACAATTTCTTTATTTAATAGAAGAAAAAAATTTCCTTGAAAGTTCACCTTTCCGTTCTAAAGGAAGAGTTAGGGGAGAAATAGAAGGAAGTCCGTTCTTACTAATTGAGTTGATATTTACGCTTTTACACGTTGTAAAGGGTGTTATACTAATAATAATAGAAAAAGAAAGAAACAGTTGAATATTTTTGCTTAATTGTAAGAAAGCTAAAAATAAAAAGGCAATAGAAGAAAGGCATAGAGACAAAGAGAGAGAGAGAGAGAGAGAGAGAGAGAGAGGGAAGGAGGGAGAGAGGGAAAGAAAAAGAAATGAAAAGGTGAGCAAAAGAAAAACTATGGTATTTTATTATGGCGTGTTTAAAAAAATATAGTAAAAGCTTCTGGACTAAGCTCACTTTTGCAGTATGAAGCAAATTGCTAACGAAGGAAATTCAATTTCCTTACCGCAATAAAATTGCAGGCAAATTTTGTTAAAAAAGCAAATATAAATATTAATAAAAACCTCTAATTATTCTATCGAATATCTTTAAAATGGAATTTTTCAATCAAAACTTTAAAGATTTTATTTCAACAAAAAATTTTTACTCACTTTTTTCCCTTACTTATTCTTAAAAGCTTTTCCTTATTCCTCAAGGTAAATAACGGCTAGTCACGTGACTAACTAAACCAAATAGTTTGACGAGTACTTGGGGTGGGAGATAATCTTCAAAGCAACAGTATGTAACACAGATTGCGTAATCAGTAGAAAAAGGCGGAAAGGATTAATTCGGATAGTTACAATGACATTTGAAAGAAGTCCATTAAAATCTCAAGTGCTTTTTCATTTAGACAGTTCCCATATGAGAAAAAGTTGATTTTTATTACAAACAGATTTTTACCCTAGAATTTTAGCACGAGATTGTTTAAGACTATATTATTTACCCACTAACAAGATGTCACAACTTGTTTTGCTTTCACGGTAATGAGTCAGGGAGTTTTCAATGAAAAACAGGTGGTCAAAATCCGATTAAGGAGAGGGATTTTACCCCCCTGAAATAATAAAAAAAAATTCAACTTTAATTAAAAGCAGCAAAAGAAAAAAGTAGATTAAAAAGGAAGCACAAACATTTGATCATTTATATTCAGTTTAGTTGAGAGAAAGATACTAAAAAAAAAACAAACAAATATAAGGAAAAAAAAACCCGTACGGATATTTGTATAAGTTTTTATTTCTTCTTTTTCCATTCAAATGTAATAAATGAACAAAAAAAACCTTCTTTTTTTTGCTATTATTAAGAAAGAATAATCGTTTTACACAGGTGTGAAGTACGATCGGGACCGGAATATATTACCCGGAAATATACAGTCTATACTAATGATATCTTCGATTTCACTCAATTCTATTATGGTGACGCCGATTGTACGCATCCAATATTTAGCATAACATCTCAGGGATCATGGACTGTTTCGTCGAAATCAAGAATCATATCGCCTGGTATCTACAATTCAGACTACCGTTTGTACCGGGTTGTAATGATGGCTTACACAGAAGAAGTTGCGGCGAAGTTGTATTCGATTATCAATTCGACGTGTTCTGAAAAGATATGGACTAAAGCTTGGCATCCACGAGAGTCTTATGTCATTTTACATTATGTCGAGCATCATGACAATACGATCGACTACGATTGTACCTTTTCATTCGATTTTAGTCTGAACGAATTACAGTTGGTCAGAGTGGAAAGTTCGGTCGAGAATAAACAATCTATCAAAAAGCTTCTATTAGGAGACGTTCATACACATAGGAAGATCAGGAAAGGATATAGGCCTACAGCTTTTCAAGCTCCTCTCCTGTCTGCCAACGTAAGTTGTTTACATGAATACTCTGTTTCCGCCCTTTTTACATATGTTTAAGAGGGACAAAAAGAAAGGTTATTGCAAAAGAAATAGTAAAGAAGTCTTTAAAAAATTCTTTCTATTATAAGTGAAAGTAAATGGTTAAAAGCAGAGTAAAACGTTTTTCTTATCTTTAAATGAAACAAATAAAACGAATTAAATTGATAAAAAAACCACCATATACAATAAACAGACATAGTTGTCAGTTGATAAGGTACATTTGGTCAATTAACTGACTATTATGTACCAACATTACTTTCTAACTTTGAATAGGGAGTAAAGAGTAATTGATTAACCCTTAAGAATTTTATTGATAATCATTTAAAACAACTTTTGTAAATTCATGTTTCTTTCCTTTCTTTTCTTCTATTCGTTTACACATTTTTGTTTTTTTAATTCCATTTTTTATTAATTTACCTTTAAGTTTATTTTAGGCCTAAATCGATTTTTTTCACACAAATAAATTAATAGGAAAAAATGATTTTTATATAAGAAAAAAAAGGTGAAAAATATTAAGTAAATAAATTTATTATTTTAATATTTTTCTATATTTTTACTTTTTGTTTTTTTAAAAAAAAAAAGTTAAAAATATTCTTTTTTTGTCGATTCAACAAAAATCTATATAGATGTTTTTTCTTTGTTTTGATTTCTTAACATTTTTTAGTATAAAGGGAAGAAATATCAGCTAAAAATCTAATAAGAGATTATAATTATTCAATATAATTTTTAGTTTTATTTAATTACTTCTACAAATCCAGTTAAATGGTTATTTTCTGATAATCCATTAATAATTCTCTTTCTTATCTATAAAATATATAATTATTATTTCTCATTTGCTCTTTTCTTGTATTTTTATTTATCCCTTTTCAAATAACAAACAATATGAACGAATAATTAAATATAATTAGTAAAATAAATAATCTCTTATCAACATTTTACTAGACAAGGATTAGCACGGATTATCCATTTATATTGCATTTTAATCATATATAGTGTATATAAGTTTTTTTTCTTACTTTTTACTTTTTACAATAACAATTCCAAATCTGTTTAATGTTTTTTGACGCTCCTTCTATATTTCTTTATCTTAAGTGATAGTTTTTAAGATGGAAAAAGAGCGTCTGATATCCAGCCGAGAACTGATATCGATTCAATGTATGATCTATTAGACGCCTTTTATGTTACTGTCAATGGTGATATAGTGAGCTGTCTATGTTGCAATTGACGAAGGGAAATATATACTTTCGTTTTTTTGTTAATTTAATTCGTACTCATTTCATGATCTATTAAGGAAAAGAGGAACAAAATTTTTCATTTTCCTTTCGTTACATAGGCTCGTTAGAATATTCTGACACTAATTATATTCCATTTAACTCGACAGACGAAAAAATGCTCAGTCTGCAAGGTCATTGCAAAATCGGATATTAAAAGACCGCCTATTTTGCATCATCACGGTAGAACGATAGCTTGGGACTCATTAACTGGTGAATGGTTTAGCGAAAGATGCGAGTCGAGACCTGGTTTCCATTTCTTAACGAGAAGACTAAGTTTTTCTTCGCATGGCGAATGGAGAGGCTATTATCATTATTATTCTGATGTACTTTGTAGAGATCCTCTATACACAATCAAGTTTTATGGAAGTTATAAGAAATTCGATTATCATCGTCATATGAAAGCTGTAAGAAAATTAGTCTTAATTGCCAAAAGGGGAAGTTTAAAGGTAAATTATCGTTTGTTTTACTGTTGACAAAGCCCATATAGACTTTTAAAGAATGTAGAAAGATATGTACATTTCACGGCTGATGAATTCGCATTTTATGGAAAAAAGAGCAATTGCTTGATCTAGTAGAAGTAACCGATAGATGGCGGTTTATGTATTAGAACCAATTTTGTAAATTTTTTCGGACTATGAATGAAATAGGTTAAATTTCTAAACTTTTGGTTAATTTAATACTTTAAAGAAGAGATCAAGAAATTATAGGTCTTCTCTAAGAAGGCAGTCGTATTTATTTGTAGGATAATAAACTATTAGACGTCTAAAAATAACTTAAAAGCGTCAGAAAACGGTCATATATTTTGTAAGATGAGAAACTCTGTCAAAGCTGAACGCAACATAGATTATTGACACAAGATGAATTCGAGACTTCAATATAGAAATATATGACCATAAAGGGTTTGAAAAAGGGAAGAGAAATAGACTTCTATTGAAAAGGGTGATAAGTAAAGTTATTGTTGTTGTTGGGAAAAATAGATAAATTTAACTGGAGGGTCTACTATATGAAAATGTGGTGATAAGATAACTACTTTATAGATGAGGATAACTTAATATAAGCCTACACGTAAACTGATTATAATATAGACTCAGTTTTGACGACAGAATGAGAAAATTACTTTCTACAGACGAAAGTTGACATATCTTTGTTTTCTGCTCTTTTCTAGTCAAATTCATTTATATGTTAATACATCCGCGACAGACATTTAAAGGCCTATAATTGTTTTATTTCATTTATCTAATTACTAACAGGTTGAAGATCAACGCATATCAGATAGTGTAAATAATCCCCTACAATCACCTTGCGGTATTCGGGGTAGTTGGAAAGTTGGAGTGGAACAGGATATTACAAAATATCACGGATGCGCAGCTCTGGGTATTGCCCTGCCTTTTCAAAAACGACAAATTGCAAGAGTTCAAAGAATTCATCACCACACAGAACTACTAATGGGCGAATGGGCGACTTCGTCGAACAAACATAATTATACACCAACTAGTTTCCAACCTCCTTTAAAATATTGTGGAAAATTCGAAAGAAAACTGGACAAAATGTCACCTAATTCAGTAATAAGTAAACCCTACTGGGGCCCAATGGGTGGTGCCACCTGTTGTATATGTGAGAAATTTATTGTTCTGCTTTTATGTTTCCTTTCTTTACTTTTTTAAAAGATTCTTGCCATTTTTTCACTGTTGTATAGATTTACATTTCCATTTATTTGTTGTGTAAATAAGAAAAGTTCCTTTCCCTTCTTAAAGAAATGCTATATTTATTGTTAACTGCTTCACTATACAACTAATTAGTTTGTATAATGATTATAATGTCCAGCTGGTAGAACGTATGAGTATTTTAGAGTTTCTATTCGTTTAAAGAGAAAAAAAGACTGATAGGGGAATACAAAAGTATACTGTCATATATATATATATATATATATATATATATATATATATATATATATATGTATATATTAACGTAGTAACAAACCATAAAATAATAAACAAACTAATTACAAATATATCAAAAATAAAACAACAGAAAAATGTTTATTCAATCCTTATTAATCATAATAAATTGATAATATTATGATATCTAATCTAACCGAGATGTTCGAAAGAGAACAAAGACAAACAATTCATTAACATAATTTTTCCGGTGTTTTCTTTTTTATACTTCTATATTTATTCCAAAGTGAATAGGGTATTGAACATAGTAATTCGTTTTTCTTTCCTGATATATTACTACTGCATACACTATATAGTCCATAAAGAATATTTCTTTTTACAAATTTTATTATTCGACTGTTTGTCTTGTTAACAACAAACTTATAGGTGGGGAAATTAAGCACGAAAAAGGCCGCTGCTATTGCATATAAACAGTCAATATATAAAACAAGTATCGACCAGCACCTAATATGAATTACTTTTTGAATAGAAGCAGCTTTTATTCATACTATCGACTGTCGTTGGCCAACTGCAATTTTTTTTCTCTTGGATTTTTACAAAATGGCCTCGTCACTAGACGCTTTTGATCTAATTGAACGATTGGAAAACGTCGATTTTTTATCAAAAAACTTAACAAGTCGTAAACATAAAGTTGATTTGAGTATAACGAGACAATTAACAAGATTGAATACCTTCTTAAAAGATGTCGTCAAATTTGAGGATAAACACCTATCTTTACCGGTAAAATCAACAGTAAATCTTATATTTTTCCCTCATTATTCAGTTAGCTATTCTACTATAAGAACCTATTTTTGTCAAAAAAATTTAGTGCTTTTACACCTATATATCGCCCCAATCGATTAAAGGACAATAATTGAACAAAATGAATTCAATAGCCATAGATTTATAATAACATATAGAGACTAATATAAGACTAGAGATTAAATCCTAAGATTTCTTTATTTTCATTTCTTTAAGAATGAGAAGAAAAGCAAAACTTTGAAATATATATTTCCTCTCTTAAAAGACTTTTTCTTTTATATATATTAGTATACATTTATATATTCTGTATTTATATATTTAGCTCTTAGCTTCTCCTTATCCTCCCTCTCCTCCTTCTTCCAACTAATTCTCATTCTTTTGCTTTACGGTCAAAATCTATAAAGTAGATTACACGATAATACAGAAACTAACTTTCGATTTTATTTTTAATGCAACAAAAAATTGCCAAAATACTCTTAAATTTAGGAAATAAATAACGGAAAAAGGTTGTTTATTTTTAATTTCCGGTATTTTTCTTTTAAAAAAAAGCAAATGAAAGAAAAAACCCAAGATCTAATGTTTTTCACCAACGGTTATTGTTTTTATTTATTAGAATATAGGGAGTATGTTCTCTTTTCATTTTATAGAGAGGATATCGCGAAAAGTGTTACGTACAGTTAATTTAATTACTTGCTAAAGTGAAAACAGAAAATTAACTATTAAATAGAGTCTGAATAATTAAGGAGGAATGTTTTGTAATATTATTTGTTGTTAACTATTTAAGGAATGGGCTAAAAGTGATGATAATGAATAAATAATGACCGGAAGAGCAATCGTATAAACATACTATTTGATAGAAAGATGATGTAAAAGTAGTGATAGAGAAATAATAATGGATTTTCTAAGTAATGATAGTTCTCCCTTCCTCTCTCTCTTTCAAAATCTAGATATACATATAGAGTTTTAATATACTCAACATAATTAGCAATACAGTTATATTTTTATCTCAACACATTCTATCTCTAAGATAAGCAATGCAGTTCTGATTTTAGGAAAATCTGATAGTTTTTTCATTGTATTACTTGAAGTAATAAATTTATAAATATAAACAAAGAAGGTTATACAAATCGTTTAAAAAATGAATGGATGGCAATCAAGAATCTCTTATAAACATATCGGTAATATTGATACGACTTATCAGATTTAGCAAAGCAGCAGATGTTGCTATAATTTCGCAGAACCTAGCAACTTAAATAGCGAAGGGACGATCTACTAAAGGTTTCCTGTCATTCATAATCTATCGGTTTTATCTCAGTTAGATTACATAATGAAATAGAATATAACTATTTTTTTTATAAATATTACAAAAACATGCCATCAGAATGGAATATCCAATAGAAAGAGATACTGAATAATTAAGAGAAAAATAACCCACACAGCTTTAAAATAATTACGAAACGACCCATTGATAAAACGTCATATATATATTTCAAACTATTCTCTAGACTGTCAAATTGAATAAGATGTCCAAGCTGGATGATTCTCCAATGGAACTTTGTCAGAATATGGTTCTTCCTCCTATTTCGGCTAAAGTTTCTTCTAATTCTCAAAATACTGCCTGGCCAAAACCCATAACATTTAATCAAGCGGTTGATCTACGAAAAGTTCTTCTTGGAACTCCATTACCAATTAGTAAAGAATGGAAAAATACAGGTTTTGTTTTCTACGACGAATCGGCACCAACGCCTTGGGGCTTACAAACATCTCTGTGTGGTGCAAGAGGTGTAGTTATGTGCGTGCAGAGTTGGATTATCAAAAACATGTTTTTTAAAAACAAGGATGTAAGTTAAAATTAAACAAAATAATAAAAAAAGAGTATCAAAGTCAATTTTATTAAATCTTTTATCATCTTTTATCTTTAGTTAGTATCGGCTGCAATGGACGGTAAAATTGTTAGTCTTGCCGATCATGCGCGAAGACTAAATCGAACAAAAATCCTTATGGAGTGCCTAAGTGAAATGATATGGAGGGCGGGAGATAAAAGAAGCTGTAAAATATGCATAACCGGAACAAAGGTTCATGTCAGAAATACTACTTATAGGGGAGATGGTATAACGGAAAAAATTGATATTTATAAATTTGATTCATACCCTGAACTTTTAAAGTTCATGAGTAATAACTCCCGAGAGTGGAGAGGATCCGGAGGAGTTTTACTTTTTGTATATTCAATTATAATGACGAGAGGTACAAAGAATATACTGAAAGATGCCGGTACACCGGAAGACGGAAAATGGGTACAATTGTTAACAGACTGGGAAGAAGTAACTTGTGCCTTGATAAATTTACTGCTCACCGGCAAAGCTGCTTTGTAAGTATTGCATAATTATAGACATATTATTATCTATATTATACAGAAACATTCACAATATAGACACTTGTAGTCTATTCTTATCATATTTAAATTAAGCCTATTTGGTGTAATTACAAGTAGATTATTGAACTCTAAATTTATTACTGATAGCATATTATTGCCTAATTTATTTATATTCCTGTTTGAATGATCGATACAGTGTTAAATGATTCTGAGAAATTATGTGATAAAATATCAGGAATCGATAAATTACTTTAGTTTATAAAAAAAGGAATTGATTTCACCTTAAAAGATCATTCAAGCATTTTTAATTTCTTTTTATTTTAAACACTAAAACTTCTGGTAAATGGTTAAAATTTTCAATTAGAAACAAATTTATTTCCTTTTCATTCAAATGTATTTAATGTAGTTTTTTTTATAGATATATGCATAATGGCCTTAAATTCTACGATAACTCTGGAAAGACATTAGATTGTCCGCAACAAGGAATAGATGAGAGAAGTGATATTGGAGTTTTAGCATATAATGATGAACGGAGAATTGAAATAGGTTCTATGCTGAAGACACCAAAGTATCCAATTTGGATTGCATCTGCCAATAGACAAATCGGGGTTCTTTTCAGTTTGAAACCGGAATTAATGAATCATTGGAGAGCGGAGCATTTCTTCGATCTACACCACTATACAGGTTTACTGGAGAGGTCTAAAAATTATTCAAAGCTTCTCGTCGATACCAGATTAGATAGATACGATAAAACGAGACAAGATAGACATGACAGAAGAAGAAGAGTACCAGCAATAGAAGAATGCATCCTAACAAAATGGGCTAATGCCGTTATCGAAACAAAATGAACGTTCTACTCTCTAAAATGGACTTCTCAACTGTTGAATTAAGTTGAAATTTCTAAACTGTATGTGATATATTTACCAAAACTGTCATGCTTTAATTTTAATTATCTAATTATATAAAAAACATTTCTTTATTTCCCTATTCAATGCTGAAAGATATAAAAATATTGTATTATTATTTCTACTTTACTTAAGACTATCAATGACAACAAGATGACGAAATGTATTTTTTTTGTAATCAGTGAATCCTTTCTCTAGTATTTATAGCTTAAAAAATTCTAACATAAAATATATATTATGAATGAATGAGGTAGATGGCGCTTCAGTAGTCTTTTACTTTTATATTATTTAGCTGTGAGGGTTATATCTAAGAACGAAGTCCTTATTATATACACATAACGTATCAAATGATTAGACTTTGCACCCTTATGAGATTTGCTTACAGGTTTTTTTTTTCTTGTTGATGAAAATGGCATATACTGTATTTATATATATATATATATATACAGTATATATAAAAGTTAGTGAAATATATAAATATGAGGTTATTTAATAAAATCAATGAAATAATAGAATATGATACAAATTTTAGAGATATTGTAAATACTAAACAGATATTTTCCATTAAAAAAAACCTATTTATACCTGTAGCCTTTTCAAATATGACTTATCACATTAACTTTAGCTATTAGGTATGAAAAAAGAATTATAGAAGGATCATGGTGATCATGGCCTTGCACTCTACTTGTTACTCTGAAGAGGGATTCTAGTAATGGCGTAATTTTAACAATTGGTAATAAAAGACACAAAGGACATCTAGATTATTCTTCCAGCATCTCATTCAGAACATTAGTGTCAGTACATTAATGATTTTACTAGTAAATTTTCTCCATCCGGACTTCCATAGCTATATTTCCCAGTTACATGGAGTAATTGATAGATTTTAAAGTAGCAACCAGTTTGATTTTTCATAATAGATATGTAAATTCTTTTAAATTTTACCTCCAGAAATGGTTTGTAAAATGTAAAGTATAAACCATTTGTAATTGGAGATGGCATTGTAAAAATAGACAAAAAAAGGGAGAGGTCAAATGCTTCTTCTATTTCCGACTCTCTCTCTCTCTCTCTCTTTCTCTCTAGTCTGATCTTACTAAGAAAAAGAAAGATTACGGTTCATTGACAGAATAAACGACAGTGAAAACAGGAGAAACCAGCTTTACGGTAGTTTATTGATTACTTATTGATCCGGTCTGGCTTTAATTAGATCAACAAATCCGTCTAGCTGCGGTGATTAATTCAAAATGGCGTGTTGCGGCAAGAAAAGACGAGGAAGATCTTGCTTTAACAGGAAAAAAGTTCAATATTTTGACATTGATAAAATAGTTGAGTGTCATTTAAAGAATGATGTAAATTTTGGCACATCTACGGACGGAAATGATTTGAAGGTAGTACTTTTTAGAAATATCTGTATTAAAATTTTTCTTAATAGGAGTCGCCATAATAGTTTAAACATAGATATTATCCATTACAAACAAAAAACTTCTCTGTTACAGATTAACGAAATATATCTTGATGACAATTTTACTTTATCAAGTGATATTAGCTATGAAGAGGATAAAAATATGAGTAGCTGGCTACAAAAATATGCTAAGAATTCTCTTCAGAAGCACGAGACAACCTCTATGGCAAAATTACCTAACAAACAAAATTTTAATGAGCTATTTTCCACTACTTTTACAAATACAAGCGGGCAGAATGATCAGGTTTGTCACGTTTTCTCTTATAAATCCAAAACAAATTATGATTACTTCAATATCTTATTCTATCTTCGCTTTTCAACAGGAATTTCATATAGAGTATAAAAAATCTGTCAAATGTGCTAGAAAATATACAGTTACCAAGGCCTATAAATTACAACTCCATGGTGATTTAAAAATAACGCCTGATCTTGGAGGAGGTTTAAAGTAAGTGTAAACCACCTGCGTGAAAATTTCTATACGTTTCTAAGAAAGCTTAGGGATTTCTTTCAGTAGAGGCAAAGACGGTGGTGTTGTGTAACAATTAAACATCATTCAAAGTAACCTCTCTACTAAAGTCCATTTATCGGTTGAAGAAATTAAGATTATCTTATCTATATTTTGTTTTTCTTTCCAGTGGAGAGTGGAATCTTTCAAAAAGTAAAGAAGACTCGGTGGAGAATAGTTATGATTGCTCAGTAAATTCTAATATTACCGTTCCACCAAAAACGACTACGAAAGTTAGTATATTATTAGATCAGAGAATTTTTAAGGGCAAATGGAGAATGAAAACAACATTTAAAGGAAATTTAATTGTATGCCTAAGAGATAAGGATACTAATAAAGATGGTGGAAAGCTTACTATACCAGTAAAAAATATTTTTACAAGAGAAAGGGGCTTCGCTTTAGATAAAGACAACAATCCAACTTTCTTATCAGAAGGAGCTTGTGAAATGAATTTGGCTATGGATAAAAAAGTCATTGTAGAGGAAACACCTATTAATGAACTCCAATGTCAGATATAGCTCGGTTTATTAAATCATGTATCTCTTTCCTTCGTTTGGAAGTTTTTAAACGAACAATAAAAATATACATATATACTGTATATATATATATAAAATCTTCTACTTTTTGTACAGCTAATATACAGTATAACATATCGGTTTATTTTCTACTTTTTAGGTATATTTGCTTATAATTTATTTAGAATTCTTGATAATTTATCATTAAATGTGCCCAAAATACTATAACACCTTTTATAAACATTAACTGACTGCATAAAAGGTGGTTTACGTACTCTCAGTTTACTTAATTATTAATAAAGATTAAGTATTGAATAAATCTTTGCAAAGTTGTGATTATTTTTTTTTATAAAAGCATTCTACCTTCTTTCTTTTTATAGCTAAGAATTGCGTTTGTTAATATCCTTATAATCAGTAAATATTAATGAAGATGAAAGACTTTAGGAATTGAGATTGGAGGCAAGTGACAATTTGATTGAAAAACTCCTTAATTCCATGTTGAAGAAAACCTTGTTACTATTCATCTAACGAAAGAAATTTAATGCATAATAAATACATCTATTTAATTGATATAACGTAATACATGTACTGTTATGCTCCCTTTCTCTCTCTCTCTCTATATATATATATATATGTAATTTATAACTTACCTTCCCAGATGTTTGTCATTCTTGTTAAAAATTTAAATAAAAAGACAAAAGAAGCAAAATTAACTCAGAGTTTCGAAGTATAATGCTGAAACAACGAATTTCAAGAGAGACAATTAAAAGAAGCGTTTCTTAGACGGAAGACGCTTCTGGCGATTGACAAAATCTAAGGATTTTGATTGAGAGAAGAGAGAGTGATGAAAGTAAAATACTCTATTGAAAAGAATATTAATACAGGGTAATTTAAACTTTGAATTTTCCCCTAAATCCTTTTCCCTTTTTGTCCTTTCTATTTCTAAAATTATGTGAAAAGGTGATGATTAAGTGAACATTCTCTTTATTATAATTAGCTATTAGTGTAAATCTTGCGAGATGATGAAGAAGAAGCAGAAAAGGTTATCCGTACACCATCAATAAATCAAAATAGTATAGATAAGAAACGAAAAGAAAACACACAAATTTATCATACTCGAATAGAAAGTCAAATGTGAAATAGAAAATTGTCTGTAATTCTGTACTAGTGATCAGGAAATCAAATAAAAGGGTATAGAATAAACTGCATTGTAAGATAGACAGAAAACAACTTCTTATTAAGATATATAATTTGCACATTACTTCTCTAAATATTTTCTTCGCTACCTTTTGATTACTTTTATATATTGTATATATGTACTGTATATATAGACAGTATATTAGATTTTATTCCTCTAATTGCGTAATTAATCATTATATCTTGTTATGTGTAAAAAGCTATTATTTGTCCTGTAGAAAATTATACGTTTCTACTGCTTTCTTCATGATGTTTTTTCTCCTTTTTGGTATTTTTTATCGGTTTCTTTCTCTTCTACTACTTCCTTTAATATCTTTTAAACAATATTTTAGTACTTTTATTTAATACAAACAGATAAAAATAAACTTAACAAACAATAGAACAAAGAATGAAAAGATATTTAAGACATCAGCAACTCTTTTTCTATGCCTTTTCTCCTTTAGTATTATATACATAGTAATAAAATTACAGGGAGATGTAGACATCTCCAGATACAAGCTGAACTTTATTTGTGGCCTTGAAAAAAGAACAAACGTATGAATATTCATGAGAATGAAGTTTGATATATAAATTCTCCTTCTAAACTGAGTGTTCTGATATTGTAAAATTTAAAAATCAGTATGTTAAGTTGTAGTCAGAGCAGCTTCTTAAAAAGAAAAACAATACGTTTATAAGCTTACTAAGTAGCAAATCTTTTAAGAATATCAAGGATTATTTACCGATAGATTTATATATGCATATATTTATATATATAAATATATATATGTGAAATAGCATATATATACATATATATATATATATATATATATAACATCGAGTTAAATATAAGTCAAGTTTTATTACGTTTGTTACTGGATACAAAAGCTCCAATACACTAAACTCATACGTGCCGTAATGGAAATAACCAGCAACTCATTTGCTCTTCCTTTGCTCATACTCTTCCTCTTATTATTAGGATATTTTTTTATCTTGAAAGTTAACTACTGGAAAAGATTACCCCCTGGTCCACGAGGTAAATTTTTTACCATTAGTATACTTATTAAAAAACTTGTTTTAGTTCCTATTTAAGCCATATAAATTGCTACTTTTCTTTTATTCTAAATTGAAAGCGAGATACAAATGATTTGTAAATTGGAAAGAATAGTTTCAAGAGTCAATAGTCTGCAATTTAACAATTAAACTAATAATGAGCTCTTTCCGCGCAAAAAAAGAACCTCTGAAAGATATTTGAAAGGAGGGATAGAGAGAAAAAAAAACTTTTTTCACTTATATAAAAATAAACTTTCCATCGAATTTTCCTTTTTCAAAAGAAAAGCTCTAACGAACTTTATGCATGCTAATCCTGTCGTATATCTTGTCATTTAGCCTATTTTGTTTGTATGCTTTGAAGAGAGCATAGTTGATTGCCAATTTTCGGGGCGAAGTATCTAAAGTAGAAAGATCTTGTACATCTTATATCGTCAGTGATTGATTATTAGGCTTGAGCCCAGGGATGATATAGATGAAATAAATACGTGATCAATAAATTCTTTTACAGTTTTTCTCCTTTATCAGGTTATCCCTTCATTGGAGTCCTTCTGGCCCTAAAAAATAGACCTCATGTTGTCCTCCAAAAATGGTGGAAAAAATATGGCGATATTTACAGCTGTTACATGGGAAGTCGTCTATGTATTGTTTTAAATGGTGACCGTCTTTTCAGAAGTTGTATGGTAAAAGATGGAAAAAACTACACAGGAAGACCATGGAATCTATTTCGTAGAATGGCACAAGATTCTGGTATATTTTTTACGGAAGGTCTGATTTGGAAACAACATAGGCAATGGATTATGAAAACATTGCACGATTTATCTGTAAATTTCGATGATATAATCCATGAAGAATTAGATTATCTCTTAGCCGAGATTGAGGACGATGGAAAGCTCTTTCAAGAAAAACTTTCGTTTGCCATGAGTAATACTATGTGCAAATTAATTTTCAATCAAAAATTTCATTACGACGACCCAAATTTAATCACCAATTTAAAAAGTTTAAGGATGTCTAGTAAAGCTCTTAAACATACAGCTTTAGCGAATTTTATACCATTTTTGGAGATATTTTTGAAATTTTTCAAAAGAAATGATGACGGTATTCAAGAATGTCAAATAGAAAGAGAAGCCTTGTCGAAAAAGTTTATCAAGAGTGCTTGGGAAGATCTAGAATCAGATTCCAATTCATTTATCCATTCTTATTTGAAAGAGATGCAATCGAGTTCGGAAAAGTATTCTACGTTTGAAGGTAAAGCTTAAAAGGTAAATTAAATTTTTAGATAAAATAGTAAGGAAATTATTTTGGCAGAACGTCATCTTTTGAGGATAAATTTCGACTTGTTTGTTGCTTCAACTGAACCTATAAGTGCTACTTTAGCGTGGTCTTTTCTTTTCTTAGCAAAAAATCCCCATATTCAGAGTTGGATCAGGGAAGAGCTGTTCGAAAAATTAGGGAAAACTGGAAAAGTTGGTACAAAATCGAAAAAAGAATTATTGAGATTAGAAGCAACATTAATGGAATGTCATAGAAGAGCCAATATTGCCGTTTTAGGAATTCCCAAATGTACAACAAGAGTACGTAATATATTATGTATTAATACGATAAATTGAGCCTTTGCTAAACGTTATCAATATTTTCCTATTGTAGGAGATTTTTGACAGAGAAGGTCTCTCATATTTCTTAGTTGAATTGACTGATTTATCTCTTTTTAAAACTATTAGAAAAGATAGCGATAAATTAGGTATTCTATTGTTGTTTTAGCAGAGCTTTCATGGACTGTCGGCCACATCTTCTCCCTTGCTTTCTTTCTTTCTTTCCCTCTCTCTCTCTCTTGCTCTCTCTTTAGCTATTAGTTTTCCTTCTTTGCCCTGCTCAGTGGTGTTTTGCGATAAAAGCTCTGCTTTTACTTACAAGCAGACCTTCTGTAACACGCGACCTTTTTGTACAACTAATAGAAAAAATAAATCATATGCTAATTAGGATGAAAAAATCACATATGAAAATAATTTAAGTGTTCTATTTGATATTTAACAGTAAAAATAACCTTTATGAGTCATATTTTTAATCCAACTAGGACACTGTTGTTGATGGGTATTTAGTTCCCAAAGGAACATGGATCTATTTCAATAGGTATGGGCTTCACGCGTCTGAAAAATACTGGGATGATCCTGAAGAATTTCGACCACAGAGATTTCTGAAGGATGATAAAATATTATACAATCTAAATGGTTATGCTCCCTTTGGAGATGGTAATGTCCTCTTAATGCCTTTATAAATTTGCGTTTAAATTGCTTTTTTTCCCATCCATTTTTCATATAAACCAAATAAAAGGACCAAGAAGTTGCGCTGGAGAGAAATTCGCAAAGACAGAAATTGCTATTGTAATAGGAACTATGTTACAGAAATACGAATTAAGCATAAAGGAAGATGTTAATTACGAGCCTCAGCCCGGAATTTTTCTCTTTCCAATGAATTACAGACTTATTTTAAAGAAATTATAAAAGTTTACAATATAAACAATCGAATATTGTTGATATACAATTGTATAATTAGTCATTTAATAAAAAAGATTAGAACATGAAATTAGACAAGTTCAAATTGCCTCAAGTAAAGCAGAATAAATCAAATCGATTTAGAGACTATAGAAATTGAGAATATTTGCAATCGATCAAATGAAGATGCAATTGCTATTCTTTTTCGTCTTTTCTTAACTATTGTGGAAGAGAGGAGGGCAGCATCTATAATTTTTCTTTTATTAATCAAATAATTCTTTATTTCTTTCCTTTTCTGTTCGTTTATCATATTAACTTCAAAAGGAGAGGGAAACCTATGGTTTATTCAGAAACATTGTAAATCAATGCACTTTATGTGTTACAACCTTGATGTTTACCGTTTACCGAAGGGAACAACAATGAATGAATGAAGTAAACAATGGAAAAAAGTTTTGTTCTACTTCATTCAGCTCTGACTTTCCCCTACTATAGCCTTTCTATTAGTTGTTCGAAGGGGTAGCCTTATTTTATTACGCAACGTATTTGCTTTTAAGAGTAAATCTCCAGGGGTTGCATTTTAAAATAAAGTCATTCGAACTGAGCAAAAATTTGTTCTATAGTACGTTATCTTTTTAGGAAAGGATATATATAAATTTATTGAGGGATAAGAATATATTTTGTAGTTTCTTCACGATTCGATTATTTAGAAAATCAAGGAGAGATAAATGAATTTTATCCTTTTTTATATCATCATCTTTCAATAATTTTCTTTTACACAGATTGATAAATAGCGTTGATAATTCAATTTTTTTCATCTATATCTACTCAAACAAAGGATAAGAAAGAAGAAAAAAAACATATACTTCATAAAATACACTTTGAAAGTATTTTGTCCTTATTTACCGAATCGGTATCTCGATTCTCAATACTTTTTACTACTTGGTAAGAGATTTCGATTCTCATTCTTCTCCAGGGCGTCAAATATAATCATAACGTTAAGTATATTGTAGGCCTAAATCAATATTACCCCAAAAAAGAAAATTTTGTTGGAGTAAAAAAAAAAAGGAAAAAAATACACAACACATTTTGAAGAGAATGCTGTTATATTACTATATCAGCTGTTCTTTCATGCGATATCCTTTTAATATCAAAGATTTTACTTGGCTAGAGATAGAGAAGAAGTAAGAATTCACTTAGCATTCACTAAGGGCTACTTGTAAGTATATTTGTTGTAAAGCAATTGGATTCTCTTCCATGTTTTTCCTATTGTACAAATAATCAATTTTATTTTATGTCCCTTAAGAGAAATTCCTAGTAGTCTAAAGAACAGGTTATAAATGAGATAAATTATATTCTATTCTGTTCCTGACTCTCCCTTCCAGTCTTTACAAGATATCTTTTAATTGCGTAAGATTTGATTTTCTAGTAAGTCTCCGTATTTTTCAATTATCTATTATTTCTTTAACTTTTCCTTTTTCTTTTCATATCCAATTGCTTAATAAGAGAGGAAAGTTTGAAACCCTAATTAAATTTATTATATTTTATAACTATTCTTTAACTACATAGACTATAAAGGGATTTTCTTTTCTCTGAAAATTCTTAAAGGAGTAAGGGATAATCCTCGGATCAGTTGTTAACAACATGCAAAAAAAAATATGGGTTTTATATGTCTATCTTATATCATATATAAATTTCATGCAGTTCGTCTAGAGTTTTACCAGAATGCTAATGGTCTATATTTTATCTAGTGTCGGTTCACTTCGGTATGAAAATCCTTGTTATAAACAATATACTTTATATAAAAAAGGTATACAACTAACCAATTTTTCTGATTAATACATAAGTATTGTGTCAAATAAGATGTCTAAGAGTCTAAGACCCAATAAGTCTAGCTAGGCGAGAAACACTTGTTTTTGAGTGTTCTCATTAGCAGACTCGACTAAAAGATGTTTTCTTATTTTTCTTCTAAAGCACAATGCTTAGGTCAATAATATTTTTTGTCACTTTTTTATGATAAAGAGAGTATATACTAGATTTTTATTAGTATGTTAAAATATATATATATACATAGCCTTTATAGTCCTATTTCAACGTTTTTATCTTTAATCAATGTCAAAAAATATTCCATTCATTAACAGTGGTTAATTATAAACGAATATCAAATTAACAAGAACTATTAGAATCCCTTACTTAACTCCTAGACCTATCTAAAATTAAGAGATTTAATATGTGCTTTTGGTGTAAATTTTCTTTTGAACTAGAATTTAACCTTTCTTTCAATTAGGTATTGTGTGAAAAATATTTAAAATCATTAGTTGGTTTGTAACGCTAGATGTCAGTAGTATTCTGAATGCAAATTGCAATTAAATCCATAGCTTGATTGTAGCTTTGATACGTTAATTGTGATGCTTATGACTCTTCTTCTTTTCATTTACATCATTTTAAGGTTTTATTTCGGTTAGTTCATATCGTTTTTAAGATAACAGTTCGCTCTAATAATTTACGCGAGTTTTAAGTAAGGCATTGAAGATTTTTTCAGAGAATTGGCTTCCTTTTAAACACTTCTTATCTTCCCTCTTCATTATCCGTCAAACATGTGGCATATACTCTGAAAACCAGCTCGGTCACCTGATGCTTTCTCATATTACTCGCTAGAGAGCGCTTCTTCATCTTTTGCAGTATTGCTGGAGGTAAAACGAAATGAACGCTTCGCACCTTGCGGTTGAGCGATGACGCTTTATTGGGCTCTATTTTTATGTCAGGATTGCTTAGATGTAAGTTGTTTAACGTTAATCATTGAATTATATATATTTTGTAAAACTGTAGAAAATAGAGAAAAAAAACAGTTGTATTTTGATCACGTCACCATCTGAGTGACTACAAAGGATTCTGTCATTCGAGTATATAAATTGTTGTGCAAAAAAAAAAAACTTGCTACAAATCTATTTCTTGTGAGTAATCATTAACGAAGGAAGAAGAGGAAAAATATCAAAATTTACATATTTTAATTAGGAAAAAAGAGGGGAAGATAAAAAAAGAGAAAAGTAGGAGAAAAACTAGATTTAATTATACATTTTAAAGTATTTATATTAGAGTAGCCTTTCAATAAGATAACCTATGAAATATAATAACCAAAACTATTGACTTGACTAATGCTGAAGAATTGAATTATTCATATATTTAATGCAATATACTGAGTATACACTATGTAAAAAATATATCTATATTTATCTATACACAATATGGATATATATTTGAAAAAGAAGAGAATGTTTTTTTTGTAAAGCGTCTACTTTCAACTTGTTCAGGGTCAGGTAGATATAAGCAGGTATTCCGTGTGATTACGCTCAAATGTTTATGAAGCATGGAAAAGAAATCAATTTCTGACGCAATTTCATCTTTATGATCATTACTAGCCAATTATTTGATGTATATTATAGTGAAAGATATTACTCCTTTCTACAGTAAAGAAAGAACTGTGATTTTAACTGCCATAATTTTTCTTCAAATATTTTACTTCTTGTGTAAGAATATAAGATGTTTCTTTTTTAAGTAAACCTTATTATTTACATGTGAAACTTGGAAACTACTTTAGTTGGTATGATTTTAAAGTTGACCTTTAACAATCTTACTTATCTTGAAGTAGAATCTTCTAGTAATTGCCCTAATTAAGGATAGGCTTAGGGTCATTTTTAAAAAACTAATCATTCCGTTCTAATCGTTTTAGTTTTTACCTACTCAAACGTAAACAGTTACTCGTTACGCATAAAATGTTTATGCATAATTAATTATGTAAATATTACAGATTCCCAGCAGCTGCCAATAATATGCTCGTATATTACATTCGCGCTTCTTGAAACGTCTAGAAGCGGGCCTCGTCGTTTTTCTAGACCTAAGATAAATAGAATTAGACGCCGTGTCTATTCGAGTTATAGCTTTTTTGATAATTTACATATCAGATCCTCAAAGCTTTTATGTAAAAGTACTTCAAAACGGAATCATTCAAGGTAAATCCGACAGAAAGATTAAATAAATTAAACAACAGTAACGTTTGACATGCTTTATTTATATAAAAAATGTTCACTAATTATTTACTAATGGAAATCAAAACCAAATTTATTATATCATCAATTTCTTTATTTTCCTTTCTTTTTGTATAAAACTAAAAGAGCGTAAGAGACAAACTATGCTTTTTCCTCATCTCAACATCTCAAAAAAATACTCTCTTTCCCACTTTCTCTTTCCTTTTCACTCTTTATGGTTTCTTCACGCTTTTCAAAGAAACCATGGCAAAAATTCGATTTTTCATTTTTCATCTTTAATTCACAAAACTGATTCATTGCCAATTCTTCTTCTCCTTTCCCCTTCCCTCCCTTACTATCCCTTGCCAATCCTCTCGTTTCTCTGTGTGTGTATTTCTCTCCAATTCTTCCGGCTCATCTACATTCGAGGTCCTTATCATAATATTAAATCAAGGTTTTTATACGAATAATTTGTAGAATGAAATGGAACACTATTTCTATTTATATTTGACATAGTAAAAAAAGAGACGTTAACTAAGAGTTAATGAATGAATTGCTTAAAGAAAAAGTTAATATTAATGGTTGACAACATTTTCTTTAATTTCTATTGAAATTAACTTTATTGTAGATAATTGATGTAATTGAATGAATATTTAAAGTCTATTTATAGTACTAGGTGATAAATTTTGCATAGATGAGAATTGCAAAGGCTGATGTAGAAGTATCATGCTGTCCAAATTTAGGAAAAAAGGAGTCGATTAGAAATATTTTAAATATTTATAGGGTTAGGATTTTGAAGCATGACAATGATTTATCAGAGAGATGAAGGTCTATTTATCTTTTTCCTTTTTAGCGATTTTCAATACAAACATAAAAAACAAAGTCTCTTTTATAATGGGGGACAAATTGCTGCGTATACCATAAAAATGTATAATTGTTCAATGGTCTCTATCTCTTCTACCACTAACGTCATTACTAAAAAGGTTT